GAAATCCTAACTATCAAAATATAAGAAGGGGGATACAGCTCTTAAATAGATTGCTCAATCGAATTCTGCTCTCTGTCTGATCATTACCTTAATCAAGTTCAGGAAGGGTTCCTTCCTTAAGATAACTGGCTTCTCCCTTCAGAAACTGAAAACATATGCCTTATTTTGTACTTCTAGACCATCACCTCTCTTCTGAGATATGAGAAGCATGATTCATCATCAGCCTGCTGGAGTCCTGGTTGATTATTGCTTACGTGGGTGAGCAGAAATCCGTAACGAGTAAGACTTAAATTCAGTTCTGGGTGGCAGTCCTGGGGCAAGGAGGAGTGCTGACATGGTGGAGCTTGCAGTGGCTGTGGAGAGGAAATCCTCCTCACAGTTCCAAAGCAGACAAGAGTGCTTGTGGTCACTCACAGACCAGAGCACAGGCCAGGAAAGGAGTAAACACCTCGCCCTTGATCATAGCACCTTGGAAGAACTGAAAATTTACAGGTCCCTAAAAGTATCTCTGAAAATAGCTAACAAAACCCCAGAAGCTTGGGACAGTATATTCTCCACACTAGAAGCAGACCCCTACTTTAACATAGAGTTTATCACTCAAGTAATTGGCTGGGATCATGAGCAAGCAGTGTAAAAAGCATCAGACCACAGAATCTTAATTTGGTGACAAAGAAGATTAAAACACACAACCAGAAGAAGACACCAAAGTCAAAGCTCCTACATCCAAAGCCTCCAAGAAAAATATGAATTGGTCTCAGACCATGCAAGAGCTCAAAAAAGGTTTTGAGAAGCAAGTAAGAGCAGGAGAGGAAAAACTGAGAGTAACGCAAGAAAATCATGAAAAACAAGTCAACAGGGACAGCTAGGTGGCGCAGTGGATAGAGCACTGTCCCTGAAGTCAGGAGGACTTGAGTTTACATCTGGCCTCAGACCAAACACTTGACACTTACTAGCTGTGTGACCCTGGTCAAGTCACTTAACCCCAATTGCCTTTAAAAAAAAAAAAAACCCACAAGTCAACAGTTTGCTAAAGGAGACCCAAAAAAACACTGAAGAAAATAACACCTTAAAAATAGCCTAACCCAAATGGCAAAAGAGATCCAAAAAGTCAATGAGGAGAAGAATGCCTTAAAAAGAAAATTGGCCAAATGGAAAAAGAAGTCCAAAAGCTTACTGAAGAAAACTTTCTTAAAAATTAGAATGGAGCAATTGGAAGCAAGTGACTTTATGAGAAATCAAGATACTGTAAAACAAGAATGAAAAAATAGAAAACACTGTGAAATAACTCAATGGAAAAACAATTGACCAGGAAAATAGATCCAGGACAGAGATTTTAAAAATTATTGGACTATCTGAAAGCCACAATCAAAAAAAGAGCCCAGACATCATCTTTCAAGAAATTATCAAGGGGGGAAAAAAATCTGAGCACTGTTCCTGTTATAACTATATTAGCCACATATTTTTATAGGTTTGGAAGTGGGATAGGAGTATCTGTTAAGCAACAATGGAAAAACTTCAAGGACATTATAACATTCTGTGGTTTCTATGTTTATATCCTCAAATTATCTGACTCATAAATAATACTTTTGTATTTTTGTACATCCATTTGCCACAGAAGTTCTTTAGCCAAAATTCTGCACTATTCCAAGAGAAGTAGTTTCCTCTTCGGTTTCCCCTTGATAAGAGAATTACTCATCATTTGGACAGAATGCTGAATCACTATTATCTGGCAGGCCATTTGCTGGTAGGAGAGAGGTTTAGAACCCCAGGGATACTACAGCCAAGAACACCTGATCTGTAAAATGGGTGCCCATGACAGTCTGCAAACAGTAATTATATGACTTAAAAAATTTCTCTGCCAACATAATAAAACTATAGCTGTTCTAAATGAGAAGGTCTCAATCCATACTGAGAATTTACAATTAATAAAACATATTCAAAAACCCTCCACAACCTGGTCCCTTTACTACCTTTTTCTAGTACTCTTATACTTTACTTCCTCCATGATCTAGTCACACTGGCCTACTAGCTTGCTCCATGTGCATCTCCATTCCATCTCCTGCTTTAAGCCTTTTCATTTGTTATATTCTCCATGCTAAGAAACCTTTCTCCTTTCTTTTCTTCATTCTCCCTAACTCCTCACCTTCTGTCTCTTTTTCTTCATAACTACTTACCTGTCCATTGCCACCACTTCCATCTATGGTCCAAGATAGACAAATCACCCACTTGAATAAAGGACTCTAATTGGTTTCAGGTTTAGGATGGGCACTAGGGTCCCCAAAATAACAAAAACAATAATAAAATAATTCATAAAAGTAGCAAGGTTTTAAACTCCTATATCCTTAGGACTAGGGAGCATAAAAGTAGATTCATCATAAAACAGTTGTAATTCTTTTGACGATATCAGACCCATGAAAGTTGAAGGGATGTGGTTGCAAAGTCATAGACTGACCTACCAAAGCTACGATAGGACAAACCTCTCTTAGCTATCTGATTTTAGGTAAAACATCAAATACTTTTTGGAACAGGCAATCCATGCATAGTCCAAATTCACACAGTCAAAAGGTCTCACAGCCAAGCCAATGATCTAACAGGTGGGAAACATTCCTCTTTAGAGGAGAAACATGGGGCAGCTAGGTGGCGAAGTGGATAGAGATCTGGCCTTGGAGTCAGGAGGACCTGAGTTCCAATCCAGCCTCAGACAGTTGACACTTACTAGCTGTGTGGCCCTGGGCAAGTAACTTTACCCCAGTGGCCTCACCAAAAAGAAAAAAGAAAAAAAAAAAGAGGAGAAAAACTACAATAGGCAAAAAGAACAGAGACAATTCTGACACTACCTTCATAAGGCCATGCTCTCAACTCTCCCAGAATTTCCTATTTATCTGTTTGATGTAACGCATAGGCAGCAATCCCTGTGAGCTCTTGGCATTTTCCCCTCAATGATGCACTACTGACTTAATTATTTGATCAGCTTTTCCTAGTCTCAAACTCAGAAAAAAAACAAAATTACAGTTCTAAGAAGTCCACCTCCCAATGCAAGTTCCATTGCTTATAACTTAGGAGTACAGTTGTTTCTCAAATAAACATAAATACTAACAAGTACCATAATACAAGACCATCACTTTGTAGTGACACTTCAGATGTTTTTTTTAAGAGAAAAAAAAAATCACATTTATACCCATGAAGCTCATGTAATGTATTTCCTACGGACCATCTCCAGTTGTCCTGATCTATATCTTAACACTGAACACAGATGGCTCCAGAGGAGAGAGTGAGGCTGATGACTTTGCACAGCCCAGCCTCACTTAAATCCAATTCACTTGCAAGTCATGAAATCACCTTCCCTAAGTCATCGTCCTCTTTGAGAATGAAGGACAAACAACTACGTATTTCCTAAAAACTTCCAGATCTTGTCTTCCCCTCCTAGCTTTAAACATTCAATTCACACAAAATAATGAAAAGAATCATTCTGAATTTTCCCCAGAAAATGAATGCATATTTGTTCACATAAAACTAGAAAGGCGCTGAGTCTAGGTCTAGATGGCTTAATGAAAACCTCTTTCAAATTGGAGTCAGCAGATCCAAAAATAAAATGCTTTGAACATAATATCAAATCCTTATAAAAACTGACAAACAGCATACTCAAATGTGTAAAGGTAGCTTGCTACTTCATTATTTTGTCCTATTTTTAACACTGTATAATTAATATGAGCTAAGAAACTATGGTTTCAAAAGGAATGTTAAGAAACTATGGTTCTTTATCAATTTACAATTGACCCATTTATCTTCCATAGACCCCACAATAATAGTCAAACAAATCACCGTATAAATCAATTCTATCTATACTATATAAACCAACTTTTAAAACTATTTTCTTATTCTCTTAACAAACTGCCATAGCCTTATATTTGGCTATTAGTGTATGGGGAGGCAGGAAGCAGAAGGGGAAATCATTCTAGTCTCAACTCAGAATTCACAAAGTTCTCATTCATGAACACATATGCTGGTTAACTTGTTCTGTCAGGATTATCAAGGGGAGGGAGAGGAAGGTAACTCTGAACTTTAGGACCAAATTCCAAGTTATAAATCACCTCCTTTCCCCTGACACCAAAGTAATGAAAATCTCTGGATTCCCCAGAGAAAGATCATTTGTACACAAATTTCACACAATCTCTAACAAGCCTAGAGAGGTGAACCCAAAAACTCCCACTAGGATATTTCAGCATAAGGTCAAAATTCACATCTTAGTTTAAGAAATCCACATTAAAAAGATTTATATGTATATATATACATATATACATATATATATATATCACTACCACACACACAAAAATCAAAAGTGAATGTTGCAAAATTATAATAGAAGGTCCCTACATATGGCACATTGCACATATTTTCAGACTTTTTCAATATATTGATCAGTTATGATTTTTCTTCCTCTTTTCTTTAAATACTAAGTATTTTCTGACATATGGGAGGGGGAGAGGAAGGGACACTGGGGGAGATTATGGTGATGTCTAAAAAAAATGACACTAATAAAATTTATATTAAAAAACAACAACAAAAAGAATTTAACTGAGTCGCAAAGTCAATATTTTTAATTTTCAATGTCATGAAGTACTGTAAGTTGGGAAGGGGAACACCTTCCTTCCTATCTGCTTCTATGCATTCTCAACTGGCCACAATAAGGAATGTTGAAATGAGACTATTTTTTTAAGGCTTTGAAAATTTCAGTTTAAAAACTCAATTCTTTTTACCCTCCTTTTTACCTCTGGCTGATCAGACCACAGGAAAAAAAGGAATTCTGCCCAGATGACAAAGACACAAAACACAAAAAGATACTGCTGATAGCATATACTTAGTATACATACTATTCTCATTTTCTCTTTTTCACTCTCACTCACCCATATGCACAGAAGCTGAATTTACCTTAAGGCTGAAATGAGACAGTCACAAAGAAAACTCAGTAAAAGCTTTCAAGTTTTACCACTGGTACTCACCCCACAAGGGCCAGGGCCAGGGAGCAGTAAGGCTTAGGCTCAAATGGCTGCTCAGATAACTTTGCAGGAGTTCCAGTCCTTTTAGTGGCAGTTATACAGGACAGAACTGGATGGGTCCTCCAAAACTGTCAAAGAACCAGAAAAACCAGTCACATAAAAGGGAAACAGTAATATCACTCTGAGCACTATTTCCATTACACATGGTATAACTACATACTTTCATAGGCTTTTCTGGAGGGGAAAAGGGGTATCTAACAACGGAAGAAAAATTTCAAGATGTTCAAACATTGTGTGGTTTCTCTTTACCATCTAAAACAGTTTGCCGAGCTTCTGCTTCTGGAAGCCAAGATGGTGGAGTAAAAAGACAGTCGCTCTCACACTCCCCTATCAACCTCTGAAAGCCCAGAAAATATCACCCCAGAAAAAACCAGCTGAACCAGAAGAAAGATGGGGAGCAGCAGTGCAGTTAGGTAGCTTGAGGGATTAACGGGAAAGGCCCCTCATGCCCTGGGGGGAGGGAAGCAGTACAGAAGGGGAGGCATCCCAGTCACCTAGTGGAAAGCCCCACTTTAGCACACCAGGAGGCAAGCCTGGTGACTCGGCATTCTACAGCAAACAGGTCTCCCAGTGCCTCGGCAAAAATAAGGGAAACAGCACTACAAAGGGCCCCAGGCAGATAAACACCCTGCAGCATTCATCTGAAAGGAGCTGAAGAAAGCAACCTAGAGTTGCCAGAAAGTTCCAGCCTTGCTGATTCCAGTCCAACACCAGGTAAGCTGCCAGAACCCTACAGCCTCCAACTGCCAACACTGGAGGCCCCAGCACACAGTCATCCAACAGGCCCTAGGCTCCCAACACAAGAAGCGTAGGTCAGTGTGCTCTGCTCCCCAGCAGGAGAGCTCAATCTCTTTAAAGGCCAGGGAATAAAGAAACACCACGAGTACAAACAAACGTACCATAGATTCATATTATGAGAAGAGTGAAAAATCAAGACAGAGATTCTGAAGAGGACAACATTGTCAACAAACCCACATCTGCAACCTCAAAAGGGAATATGAACTGGTCTGAAGTCCAAAAAGCCTTCTCAGAAGAGCTCAAGAAGGATTTTAAAAATCAAATGAGAGAGGTAGAGGAGTCCTTAAAAAATACAACTGGCCAACTGGAAAAAAAGTACACTGAAGAAAACAAGTCCCTAAAAAACACAACTGGCCAACTGGAAAAAAAGTACACTGAAGAAAACAAATCCCTTAAAAATACAATTGGCCAATTGGAGAAGAAAGTACAAAATCTAACAGAAGAAAACAATGTTAAAAATTAAAACAGTTTGCCTCATGTGTATCCTTTTGGTTTTGTAAGAGTATGTTTGTGACGGTATGTTTGCCACAATTCCTTAATCAAGGTTTTTCATGGTTCCAAGATGGAATCAATCTTACTTCTCCCTCTTCATTATGCAAGAAATTACTAAATTGCTCATATTCCAAGAAGTTTACATCAAGAAAATATTTATATGTACACAAATTTTCACTAGCAGTATTATTTGTAATAAAAGCAACTGGGTGGGAAAAAAATACCCAGACACTAGGGAATGGATGAGCTGAAGTATATAACTAAATATTGCTCCATGTGGATTATGAATTCAGAAAAAAACATGGTAAGACTTTCATAAAGTGATACAGAAGAAATACCAGAATATTAAAAAAAAAACAAAAAACTAGGAGGTAACACAACTAGGGAAAAATATGAGACAATGCTGGTACCAAATGATCAACATTAAAGTATGCATCTTACGCAAACTACATAAAGTGGAAAATGTTCTGATATCAGTCAGTATCTGTCATTTCAGTTTTCATTTTCCTTGAATGTCTTGGGAGTTGAGGGTGCTGTTTCAATCAATCAACAGGCATTTATTAAGCACCTATTCTATACCAGAGACTGTTAGGCTTTGCTTAAGTTGTACCTTAAAGAAAAGGATTCTCCAAGGCAGAGGGAAATGAGGAGGGAGTATATTTCAGAGCACACCCAGGGCAAAGACAGTTTGTGAGTGTGAGTGAGTGAGTGTGTGTGTGTGTGTGTGTGTGCGTGTGTGTGTGTGTGTGTGTGAGAGAGAAAGAGAGAGAGACACAAAAAAAGACAGCTTGGTTAATTCAGAGGAGTGGGGGAGAGCAATATCCAATGAGGTCATGTGATGAAAGGCTTTAAAAGTTCAACAAAGACAAGTTGAGGGGATGTCCATCAATTGGGGAATGGCCGAACAAGTTATGGTATGTGATTATGACGAAATACTACTGTACTATAAGAAATGATGAGCAGGATGTTCTCAGAAAAACCTGGAAAGTGTTGCATGGGGTGATGCAAAGTAAAATGTACTGTATGCAAAATAAGAGCAATATTGTAATGACTTGAAACACTTAGATATTCTCGGCAATATAACCATCCAAGATAACTCTGAAGGACTTACGATGAAAAATGCTATCCATCCCCACAAAAAGAACTGATGGTATCTGAATAAACACTGAAGCATACTTTTAACTTTTATTTTTCTTGTCTATTTTTTTCCTTGTCTATTTTTTCTTTCACAACATGACTATTATGTTTTGCATGACTACACATGTATAACCTATACAGAATTGCTTGCCTTCTCAATGAAGGGAGGGAAGGAGAGAATTTGGAACTCAAAGTTTTAAAAACCAATGTTAAAAATCATTTTTAACGTAACTGGGGAAAAAATAAAATACTAAATAAAAGCTTAAAAAAAAGTTGAACAAAGACATTGGAGTTTATTAAGTAGGAGAGTGACATGGTCAGTTCTGTACTTACAGAAAATCAATTTAGAATGGAACAGTAGATATAGTTGAGGAAGAGAGACCAATGAGAAGGTTGATATAATTATCTAGGTGAGATAAGGGTGAATTCATCACCAATAAAGAGGAAATTAAAACAAGAATTAGGAGCTATTTTGCCCAACTACATGCCAATAAATCTGACAATCTTCATAAAATGGATGACTACTTACAAAAATATAAATTGCCTAGATTAATAGAAGAAGAAATACTTAAATAACCCCATTTCAGAAAAAGAAATTGAACAAGCCATCAATGAACTCCCTAAGAAAAAAATCTCATGGACAGATGGATTTACAAGTGAATTTTACCAAATATTTAAAGAACGATTAATTCCAATACTACATAAACTATTTGGAAAAACAGGCAAAGAAGTCCTACCAAATTGTTTCTATGATATAAATATGGTGCTGATACCAAAACCAGGAAGAGCCAAAACAGAGAAAGAAAATTATATACCAATTTCCCTAATGAATATAGATAGAATAATTTTAAATAAAACATTAGCAAAGAGAGTACAGCAACTTATCTTGAGGATAATACACTATGACCAGGAGGGACTTATACCAAGAACGTAGGCCTGGTTCAATATTAGGAAAACAACCAGCATAACTGACCACACGAATAACAAAATTAACACAAATCATAATATTATCTCAATAGATGCAGAAAAAGCTTTTGCCAAATACAGCACCCATGGGGCAGCTAGGTGGCACAGTGGATGCAGCACCGGCCCTAGATTCAGGAGGACCTGAGTTCAAATCCGGCCTCAGACACATAACACTTAATAGCTGTGTGACCCTGGGCAAGCCACTTAACCCCATTACCTAGCCAAAAAAAAAACAAAACCAAAACAAATACAGGACCCATTCCCATAGAACACACTAGAGAGCATAGGAATCAATGGAGTTTTCCTAAAATGACAAGTAGCATCTGTCTAAAAATATCAGCAAACATTTTATGTAATGGGGATAAGCTAGAAGCACTTACAAAAAGATCAGTAGTGAAACAAAGATGTCCATTATGTTAGAAAAGAGGCCTTAGAGACCTTCAGAGCCAAGTGGAGGCTTAAGCCCTGGTGAGCTGCAGCAGCCAATTACCCCACCCTTCTAAGACTCTGAGAAAACAAGCCTTCTAGTCAAAAATGAAACTAAGCTCAGAGTGAAGAATCATTTATTATGGTTCTCGCAAGAAGTGGGCACAAGTCCCGGAAGAGAATGTGCCTAATACAGAAGTGAGAGAAAGCTTTATACTATTAAGAGTGTGGCAACTCCTTCTTTCCAGGCCCGGATTGGTCCATTCCTTTCCTGGTTACAATCTTCGTGGGCTGCCCATCCCATGTTTCCCCTTGACATGTACTCTCTCCCTCATCATAGGAGGCATGATCAGTTAATGAGGCTCTAATTCTATGCAGGGTGTCAGTTAATATTATATCAGCTGATTAAGCATGCGCAGTTCCAAAAGCCTGCACTCTTTGTCCTACTTAGGGCCAGTTAAAACTGGTTCTGCCCTCTAGACTGAAAAAAACAGGAACTTCCCTCTAGACTGAAAAACAGGAACTTCTGGAGTCTATTTCAAAAGACTAGGGCTCTTTTCATTGGCTTACCCCTTCCCCTGTTTTTGCAAGACTTTACAAGCTTGTTAAAACAATGCAACTTGTTATTACCAAATTCTTTGTTGATGTTGTAAGATGTCAAAGGTTATCTTAAATTGTGGGAGCATGATACCTTGTCCCTTACGAAGACCTATCCCTTGCCCGATTCTCACAATCCCCTCCCAGCACTATTGTATTTTTGTGGAAACTTAACCCTTACCTGACTCTCACAATTATGACCACTTCTATTCAATATGGTACTAGAAATGTTAGCTTTAGCAATAAGAGAGGAAAAAGAAATTGAAGGAATTAGAATAGGCAAAGAAGAAACAAAGCTATGACTCTTTGCAGATGGTATGATACTATACTTAGAGAATCCTAGAGAATCAACCAAAAAACTACCTGAAATAATTAACAACTTTAGCAAAGTTATAGGACATAAAATAAATCCACATTAATCATCGGCATTTCTATATACTACTAACAAAGCCCAACAGCAAGAGATCGAAAAGAGGTTAACTGTAGACAATATAAAATATTTGGGAATCTACCTGCCAAGACAAACCCAGGAACAATATGAACACAATTACAAAACACACAAATAAAGTCAGATCTAAATAATCGGAAAAATATCAGTTGCTCATGGGAAGGCAAGCTAATAAAATCAAAATGACAATTCTGCCAAATATAA